TGATCAAGCAAGAGAAAACTACGGCAGAGATTCAGGAGTGGATGGTCAAACAGGCAGAATCCACTAATGAAATCAAGACATGGATGGCCAAACAAGAAGCTTCAACTTCGGAGATGACGGGGCTTCTTAAGCTTTTAACTTCTCGTTTATCTTAATTGTTTGTTAGTTTGTGCTCATATGTGAATTTGCCTGTTTTATTTCTTTTCTGAGTCTCTAAATACATCTGTGACTATTTTTTTTACATCTGATTCTATCTTATATTTTTCTATTTTTCTTGCTCTGAAATTGTTTTTGTCTAAAATGATTTTCTAAAATCACTTTTTGATATGACAAAAAGGGGGAGAAAATGGAAATTTTGAATCGTTCACATAAACTGAATGGAAACTCACACATGTTAAAAACTAACTAATCATGAATTCAGTGTTTCAGAGCTAAAGTTACTCATCTGACAATATTTATAGAATTAACTCTGAACAAGGTCTGAGATAGTCCACAAGCTTGCTCTGACTCTGGAAACAATACAAGTGCTGAAAGGGAAGTTTTAAATTTTCTAGCAGTATTCATTTCAGGGGGAGAATCATATTCTCAGGGGGAGATATATATTTTAATTTTGAATAAAATTTCGTATAGTTTTTGTCATCATAAAAAGGGGGAGATTGTTAGAACACAGATTGGTTCTTAATATATCTCAATATTTTGATGATAACAATAATGAAATTTTGTATGGAGAAAATATATACTCTAATTTTGTTCAAGTGTTTTTGTTTCAGATAACATAATAAATATTCCTCTGAATGTTAAGCTACAACATGCAGAAGACTCTGAGTGTTTGGTAAAAAGCGAAGCTACAGAAGGCTCTGAGCTTAGAGTATAAAGCGAAGATTCAGAAAACTATGAGCGTACTAAACTCAACGCTGCAACTGCAGAGGCTCTGAGAATCAAAACATGTAAGGCTCTGAAACATTAGTAACAAAGTGATACATTTGGATAACATGTAAGAGCGAATATCTGCTCTGATCTAAAGTGCTCCTCTGGATGAACAGTTTGTTAAAACAATCACGCTAGCACTAAGCTGCAGAACTCTGGAAGATAGTTAGTCTAATAAGAAGAAAATGGAACATCATCAGAACTCTGGTAGAGAGTTACTCTGATAAGAAGAAAATGGAACATCATCAGAACTCTGGTAGAGAGTTACTCTGATAAGAAGAAAATGGAACATCATCAGAACTCTGGAAGAGAGTTACTCTGATAAGAAGAAAATGGAACATCATCAGAGGATCTGATGCAGGAAATATTTCCATATTCGTTCATTTAAAAAGATGTTGATCAAGAAAGATCCGTTGCAAAACTCATTGTCTACATCCAACGATACTATTCCTTTTTTGTGTATGGCACAAGATTTCAGAACAAAAAGGATATCTCTGAACATTCCTCTTTTATGTATGTGCACGCTATTTGAGAAATGAGTGTGAAGTATTTAAACAAGTCTTCAACAACAATCCAAATACACATATATACAACATCATTCTACAACAAATATACCACTCTGCTAAAAAGAAAATAGAAAGTTTCATAGATCTTCATTTTGTGTTAAATCACTGTTGTGAAAAAGCTTTTCTAAGAAGCACTTAAACACACTTTATTGTATTACTTTGTAAAAGATCCTTGAGAGACCAAGTTGTGGTCAGTATTATTGAGAACACTAAGACAAGTTTGTCTTAGTGAAAAGATTGTAATCAGTTTTTGATTATTGGATTAACTCCTCTTTTGAAAGAGGCGAAATCACCTTGGCCGAGTGGACTGGAGTAGTTTGAGTTCAAACGAACCAGTATAAAAATACCTGCTATTTTTTATTGCCTTATTTGTTTTTGAAAACCCTTATTCAACCCCTCATCCCCTTCTCAGTGTTTTCCTTCCTTTACTCTTGGCCTCTGGTTGCCAACTCATTTATGTGCTTTTGAGATTTTATTTGAGTTTAATTGAGCCATTTTCCTATTTTTGGAGTAGTTTGCAAGTCAAGTTATCCCTAAGGATGGTTCACACACACACTTGACCTAGTTTGGATGGGAAATGATTCTTATGGACTTCAAATGCTCCCAATTCTTTTTGATTCACCTTCATAACATGTTGAAGTTGTTGAATACCAATTTATAGGTCATACACTTGCTTACCTCTTGTGTTAGGTTGCTTTCCTTTTAGGCTTTCCATTTGAAGTTCAAATGTTGAGAGTTGCTTAGGACTTGGGTCCTTTACCATGCCTATTCTTGCAACGTGCTTTGTGTGATCTTTCTTGCTTTGTACATCTCTTTCCCCTTGCTCTTACCTCTGTCCAAGGATCATAGAATCCCATTTGAGATGATTTAGTCCCTCCTTTGGAGGTACTTTGAACATATCATGAATGGTGATTCCTTTTGAGGACTTTTGGTATGTTTTCTCTTGTTTGATCTTGGTGATGATTGTGGTTGAGACTCTTTGAGTTACTTGCCGCCCTAGTTTGGTATCACATCTCTTATCTTGATCTTGCTTTGCCTTTTGGCTTTCTTACTTTGTTGTTGAGCTAGTGATTGATACATAAGTGATTGTAGGGATTCTATTCTTCTCACTTTATATCACTTTGGTTTGAATTTTCTTGTGTGATTTTGTGTGCATTTCCTTTTGGTTCTTGCATATCTCATTTGCATGCTTGAGGTTGAGATGTGCTTGTGGAGGCTATTTCCCCACACTTTGTTCCTCCCTCTCTTTTCATTCTAATTGTGCATTACATGTTTGCATTCTTCTTTCTTCTTATGCTTCCTTCTTCTCTCTTCTTTGTCATGTTCCCTTAGGACCTCTAATCTCTCTTGTTCAAGATTGATTATGATAGACCTTAGGTTTGAACCCATGCATGATTAGGTAGCATTCCCCTTTTATCCCAATCATAGGTACACTTTGTATGATAACATTAGTTTGAGTCTTAGTCTCCCTTTAAAGTGTGTGTCTTTCTTCTCATCTTCAAACTTCTTCAAGTCATCTAATAAAGGATAATTTATATTGTACGCTACGAGCCTTAAGTACTTGGGGAATGATGATTTGGGGGCCTCCTCTCAATTATCTAGAGTTTTTAGCGTATGTCCTTTGGACGATATGCGACGCATTCGCTCCTAAGTCATAGTCTTTAGTGCAACATGAGTTTCAAACTATAACTCAATTCACTTCTTGTCTAAGAAACCCCAAAACCAACTTCAAATTTTCTTTTTTTTAATCCTCCGGGATTAATTGGAAACCTTTTTCATAAGGAGAATTTTGTTAACTCTTGGTTCTACCGCAAACAGGTAACGCCTAAGTCTCCAATGGTCGAGCTGCATACACCTAACTGCTAGAACTAAGTTTTAACCCAACTCAGGTAAAACACTTGAACCAACCTGTGATCTTGTTAGCCCAAACTACGTTTGCTCTGATTTCTCGTACCAGACGAGGATACGTAGGCACAAGAAGGCGATGTATTGGCAAGCAACCTTCCCCACCTTCACCCTTAGTTTTCCGAACTACGTTGAGTCTGACTTTCCAATTGCACGAGGGAGTACGTAGGCATAGAGCGACAATCCTCTATAGAGTCTCTTTTCTTTTCTTTTGTCCCTGTGGCTTGTAGCTTAGATAGATAAAAACCCTTTTTGATAGACAACAAAGCGTGGATCCCGTCGAGTACGACGGACGTGAGGGGTGTTAATACTTTTCCCTTGCGTAACCGACTCCCGAACCCAAGATAAAAAATGTAGTGTCCTATAGACCTAACCTTGATCCACCCTAATATATAAAAAAAACACAATTTTAACATGCACTCTCCACTATGTGCATCCAATCACATCTCATTTTTTATGAATTTTTAAAGTATAGATATACCCATTAGTCTATATATATATATATATATATATATATATATATGGACATATCAAGTGAGAGAGATTTTAAAATGAGGGATGAGAGGAACAAACAACAATCATTAGATCATGATTATACTTATTTATTAATGTCACTATTAATTTTTCTCTCTTATTAACTTGAATTTCATCTCTCTTATTAATTTGATCTAATAGTTGTTGTTTGTTATTCTCATCTCTCATTTAAAATCACTCTCATTTGATATGCTCATATATATATATATATATATATATATATATATATATATATATATATATATATATATATATATATATATATATATATATATATATATATATATATATATATATATATATATATATATATATATATATATATATATATATATATATATATATATATATATATATATATATATATATTCTCCTTGGACTCAATCATAGGAGGGTAGTTATGGCACCGAAAAATTAAGGCGATTTAGAAATTTGACAGTGAAATAAAAGTTTTCTTCCTTGCTCGTACGACGATAAGCGGCATCACAAAATTTCAGACGTGGTGATGTGACTCAACGGACCATTTTGACCCATCTTTATCCGTAACAACACAACCTTAATGTAATGAAAGTCGGTGAAATCTTAGGCGGTTTACATGAAATAGTAGTCAACATTATCAAAATAGTTTCTTCAATGTATTTCCAATCACATGATTTAGAAACCAGAAATTAATAGTGCATACTTGAAAATTTCTAGAATTTACACGCTTTGTAATAAAAGGCTGTTTAGGTAAAGGGTAGTAGAAGTAGAAGCTACTTCCATTTGTAGCAGTTTGGATGAATAGCACACCACAAACACTAGTTCGGTTTATTAGTGGCTAGATACCCTAACAAAGCACCACGTAATGGACCACTTAACTATCATTAATTCACATTATAAGCATATCAAACCTATTGCTATCCACCTGTCCACTTTCGCTTCATCCCACCAACCACCTTTCATTATATTATTATCCAAACAACATTCATTCTCATAAGCCATAAACTTTATAGATTCCTATAAATTAGAGCACATCATCAATTCTCACACAAAACAACTATTTTCTGTCTCATACACAAATAGTGTCCAATGGCTATGCTTGTAAAAACTTTATTAATAATATGTATACCTGTTATGGTAGCTTTTGCTGGAAACTTATACCAAGATGTTGGTATCACTTGGGGAAATGGAAGAGGTAACATTCTCAACAATGGTCAGCTTCTTACTCTCTCTCTAGACAGAACTTCTGGCTCTGGCTTTCAATCCAATAATCAATATCTTTATGCTAAGATTGACATGCAAATCAAACTTGTACCTGGAAATTCAGCTGGCACTGTCACAGCTTATTATGTGAGTTTAATCTAAAACAATACCTTCTGAATAATACTGATATTTCTCAAACATGATTAGTATCTAATATAGAACTTTTGTGTCATGCATTGCAGTTACGTTCAGAAGGGTTATCTTGGGATGAATTAGACTTTGAATTCTTAGGAAATTTAAGTGGTGATCCTTATGTAGTTCATACCAACGTGTATACTCATGGGAAAGGTGACAGAGAGCAACAGTTTTATCTATGGTTTGATCCAACTGCAGATTTTCATACCTATTCCTTTCTATGGAATCCTGCACATGCTGTGTATGTTTTTTCTAAAATTCATATCACAATTATCTTGTTAAAATTCTCACAATTAATTTGACTTCATTTTTTTTTTCTTTTCAGATTTTACATTGATGGAAGACCTATTAGGGAGTTCAAGAACTTAGAGAGTGAAGGTGTTCCATATCCAAAGAATCAAGCAATGAGATTATATTCAAGTCTATGGAATGCTGATGATTGGGCAACAAGAGGTGGACTTGTGAAAACAGACTGGACACAAGCTCCATTTACTGCTGCTTTTAGAAACTTCAAAGCAAGTGGCTGTGTTTGGTCCAATGGAGTTTCTTCATGCAAATCCAACTCTTCTTCTGATAATGCTTGGTTATCTCAACAGCTTGATGATACAAACCAGAAGAAACTAAAATGGGTGCAGAAGAATTACATGATTTATAATTACTGCAATGATCTTAAACGGTTTCCTCAGGGTCTTCCTGTAGAATGCACTCTTCGTACCAAGTCATAAGAGGAATACAACTTTTACAAATTTATATTTATTTTTGAGCTATGTCATTTGAATTACTATTATGTTCAGAAATCTATGTATGTACATAAACTTTTAGCATTTACTAAATCATATATTTCCCTATATGAGTTACTATGTAAAAAAAAAAAAAAAAAAAAAGAAAACACTAAGTTGATTGATGGATAGTCCTGCTTTCGTTTTATCAATGATTAATTTATCAAAAATGTTAGTTGATAGAAATCTTAAGGTGCTGTTTATTTAGGGTATATTTGGATAAACATCTAAATGAGGAAAATTAATTCATTAATTTTTTTTAGAGGATTTAAAATAATTCGATTAAAATTTATTGTTATAAAAAATATGGAGAATATGTTAAATTTAAAATTTTATAAATTTTAAAAAATATGGAGAATATTTTAAATTTAAAATTTTATTAAATATTTCATTTAAGTTAAATTTAAAGAATATTTTTAATGATTATTTTTTTTCTTCATATTTTAGACTTATTTTTGAAAATTTTAAAATTTATTAAAATATATAGTTGTTTTTAACTCGATTCATATTTTATCTGTTTTATGTCTGTTTTATGCTTTTATATGGTCGTATTTGCAGGTATATGTTAAGTTGAGGATGATGTAAGAGAAAACAGGTAAAATTGAAGTGGAGGAAAATTCGAAGAAAGACAAGGCAAAGTCCATAGGAGACGCAATGGTGTTTGCCATGTCCATGGTGGTTGAAGACCAAGTCCTCCTATTTTTAAAGAGGTGGCGTTCACCATGACCTGTGGCGTTCGCCACGGAACACGCACCCAAAAATTTAGCAACTGCCTCAGAGAAATCTCCTCCAACTCACCTTATGACCTTCTCAACTACCCGCCGACGAGTTCTAATTCTGTTTTTATGCATTTCACTATATAAAACTTAGGTTTTATGAAATTCGGGCATCCAAGTTCTCTAGTTTTTGTTTAGGCGTATAAATATACTGTAAAACGCACTAACTGTTCACATCGAGGGATTAGTGCATTACTTTATATGCTAAATCGTTTGTACTGCTTAAATCGTTAATCTTGTCGCCATTGTTATTTAAGAAGTTTCCCTTTACTCAAGTCTTCTTCATTTATTTTTCACATTATTTTAATTCTCATAAGTCTTTATACGCATTTATTTTTAGTTAGTATTTGTGCTTTAATGCTTGTGTTTCTGAATCTAAATATAATTCGCTTATATATCATCTCTACCATGTCTATGAGTTGTATGTTTAATTTTAATAACATGAGTCATTTGCACGCTATGTCGGGCTAAATCCTTTTGAGTCTGATATGTGAGGACTGTCGTTTCGACGAGACTTAGTAAATAAAATTGGCGTAATTTTTATAAATTGTTTTTCTAGTTCCGATTTTTAGTTTAAGATTTAAAAGGTTTTGCGTGATAGAGAAAATATTAAGGTCTCGAGCCAATAGGGCGACAATGTGAGGCTCATGCTAAATAGTTAAAACTGGATGTTAACTTCTAAACACAACGTCAACGTTTTAGGGTTAATTAGGAATTATTGGTTTTCAAAAGGTATTTCGCGACTTAAATGGGTGAGTGACAGCAAAGTATTTATGGTTTTGAAATATAACATGGGTTGATAGCACGACAATGTGAGACTAATGCTTTTAAACTAATATATTCTGGTAAAAAGTATTTTAAAACATAAAATACGCCAATGATATATTGAGTCCTTGAGGTACACTGGAAATCACATTTTGGTCTCTTCTGTTTGATATATTCTCTAAGTTTTATTCTGGTTTTAAGTTAAGTTTTAATTTCCCCCAATTCAAAAGATTCACAGCCTTAGATATACTTAGCACTAATAGATAACGATAAGATTGATTACTGGTCCCTGTAGGTTCGATATCTTTTAAAATTACAATTGACTCTATGCACTTACGATTAGCAACCATCAAGTTTTTTGTGCCGTTGTCGGGGAGCAATTTAGTCAATATCGTAACTCCGTTGTTGTGCAGTATAGACTAAGGCAACTATTTCTTTTTAATTCATCGGTTGTATGCCAAGAACTCGCTCACAAGTAGAATAGTTTGAGCAATAAATCGATGAAATCGAGCGTTTTGTAATCCTCAGACGCCGAATAAGAGAATATCGCTTAAAATATACCACCCATGATCCAAATACCCCAGAACCAGATATGTCTGAAAATCAAAACCTTCCTCTCAAGGACTACGCTGCTCCATCTCAAGAGGAGACACACTCGAGCATTGCGTCCCCTACCATCGAGGTGAACAATTTCGAGTTGAAACCCACTCTGTTACAAATCATACAACATAACCAGTTCTCCTATAGCCCTACAGAGAACCTGAACCTTCATTTGTCAGTATTTGTGCAATACGCTGACACATTGAAAGCTAATGGTGTTAATCCAAAAGCCATACAACTACATCTTTTTCCCTTTTTTTTGAGAGACGGAGTTAGAGCTTGGCTTCAATCTCTACAATCTAACTCCATCACCACATGGTTATGCTTCAATTATCATTTCTTTTTCTAATCCATAATTTGACTATTGAATGTATTAAAAATATGGTTGTGTGTTACTTGATTTTTATTCATGATTAATTAATTTGTTGATTGATTAAGCATGATCCTTTAGGAATTTAGTCTTAGTTAATCCTTTTGGTTGGTTTGCTAAATTTTGTATCTAAGGGCTAATTACATAATTTTAATACCCTTTTGGTGTTATACAAGCTAACTTACAATTATTTTGATATTTTATCTACTCCTTTGCAATATGTCTTTTTGTTTGTTCATGTAAAACTAAAAGTTTCTTTTTGCAAATAAACCAAATATACTTAAAAAAATACGATGTGATGCCATGAGCCTTAAGGAGAAGGAATAAGAGGGTGTATTTTTGTCCTTATTCTGAATATCTTTGGATACGGAACAAATGACCTAGTTGTTCAAAGCATTCACCCATAAACTTTAGTGCATTCAAATTAAGGTAATTTTCATAATTGGAAGAAAAAGGAGGAGGATGTAGACAATCTCTCCCCAAATGTTTAGACACTGTTGTAGAACTCCCTTTCTGAATATCCTGGGCATTCAAAAGATTTTCATACAGGATATGTTGTTTTTGTTCTACCGTAATACAAACGACGCTTAAACCTACCACGCACAAGTATACAAGCAACGTTTAACTGCTAGAACGCGAACTTTAACATTGTTCAGTTAAAACAACCAACAAATACTTCTTTTCTACCCCCACAAACTATGGAGCTCTAATTTTCTCATTGCACTATGGAAATATGTAGACACAAGATTTCAAAATCTTGGAGAGAACACTAATTAAAAATTCATTTCCTTTAATTAAAACCAATCGCAAGTAACCTTTAGATAATAACACTCATACGCGCAAAACAATTAAGATGATTCCCATTTAATACAATGGATGTGATAAGTATTAATACATTCTCCTTACATAATAGTCTTTCGAACCCGAATTTAGTTGTGATGATCATGTTCTCTTTACTTTTGAGGTTTTATCAATATTTTCTCTTTCCATTAAAATAAATAAAGTTTGGTGACGACAAGAGTTTATCAATATTTTTAATATAATTAGTATTTTTCTTCTCTGGTTTTTAGATGAATTGTGGTTCTTTCTCTTTTGTATCTGTCCAAGTTTGTTTAATCACTAGAATGTCATTTTGCACTATTTCCTTCAATGTCTACTATGGCGACGTAACATTTGATTTTACTTCCTCTATTACAAATGTAGCATTATTAAACATTTCTTTATTAGATCAATTCGCTTTCAATTTCTCCATGTTATAGATAATTAAAAGTTTCGAATTGTTATATTTTTAATTATCTAAATATAGAGATCCCTTCTAAGTATGCACCATATATGGCTAAAACAGTCACTTGTGAATTGCATCTAACCAAGTTAGGTTCATTTCTCCTATTATTTTTTTATCAATGATGGACAGTTAGTATGCGAGTAGCCAATGAAAGTTTTTTCCTTCTAAAAAGATGTAGTATAATCCCCATATTTTTATTTGCTAAATTTGTACATGTAGTCAGCTCTACGATGGATCTCATTGTATTTGTATTTATTATTCATGTGGTCGAAATTATTGATATGATGGTGGGTAGGAGTGTGTATGGTCAATTATTTTTAGATATCAAATCATAATAATTTATAAATCATTTAAATGGTTAGGAATTATAACCATAACCATATCAACTATATATAAACTAATATAAGATAATACTACCACACTACCTTAAATGCCTTTGCTATTTTTAAATTTTACCCTAACAAAAGGATAACTCACTAAACAACAAATGTGCCAATAATAACTAGTCACGCTCTTCATGTGTCACTTTTTACTCGCCCTTTTTAATATTCTATCTATTCTTTTATTATAAATCGTTTAAAAAAAAGTGTATCACAATATAAATCGTTTTACATTACCGATGAATATAAATCATTTTACATTACCAATGAATAATTAATGTTATTTTCTCTAGTATACCCTTAAAAGTTTATTATTCTCTCTCTTTTCAATTATATAAATTTATCTTTCCCATATCATTATTGAAGGACAATTTTGTAAAAATATTTATAATTTCTTATTTTCGTACACCAATAATACGTGTGAAAAATTCGAAACAAATTATAATAAAAAACAGAGATAATAATAATTTTTTCTCTCTCTCTCTCTATATATATCGGTTGTGAATTGTATGTCTTGAAACAAAGTGTAAACGATTTCTTTATGATCAAGAAACACACAAGGGTTAGGGTTAACAAAGAAATCAAGGTAAAACAACAAGGAACAACAAGGATTGGTTATAAACTGCTATTTTTTCCTTACTTTTAAAACAAGATTACAAGTATACAAGAATAACAATATAACCTCTCTCTCTTGAAATTAGGATTTTATCTTCTTATTTTTTCTTATACCAAGATTGAGAAACTAGCATCCTATTTATAAGAAAAATAGC